AAAAAGAAGAAGGAGGAGGAGGAGGAGGAGGAGGAGGAGGAGGAGGAGGAGGAAAACAAACAAACACACACCAAAAAAAAAATAAAAAAGGGATGGAGATATGTCTCAGTGACAAAGTGCTCTGGGTTCAATCCCCATTACAAATAATAATAATAATAAAAGTCTTTGGTCTGCATCCTGTCATCTCAAGGACTTAGGAGGCTGAGGCAGTAGGATCCAAAATTCAAGGCCAGCCTGGGTAATTCACTGAGACCCTGTCTCAAAAAAAAAAAAAAAAGTGGGGGCTGTGGATGTGGCTCAGTGTGTAAAGCCCTGGCTTCAATCCCTGGTACTCGCCCCCACATACAAATAAATAAATAAAAATGATAAAGCTCTAGTTTCTTTTCCCTTCCCTGTGAACCTTCCTTCTAGCTGTCCTTATTTCTTTGATCCTACCTCATTCCCATGAGCCCAAACACCAAAGCTTCCAAGGGGCATTTGGTAGAAAATTGTCCCTCCTACCCCACCCTCATTCCCACCCCTTAGCCACTGGAGACCCCAATGTCACCGGTTTCTTTCATACCCTTTCAGAGCTATTTTGTGCATAAACCAACATAAATATCATCTTCCTCCCTTTTTGACACACACAGGGGTGTGGCTCTGCGGTAGAGCACGGGCCTAGGTGCCCGGCCCTGGGCTCCATCCCCGGGTGGCCGCCCACCACCCGCTCCCTACCTCGCTGTTTGGATTTCACAACATCCCAAAGGTCCTTCTGTCACAGGACACAAAGGGCATCTCGCCCTTTTCCACGGCTTCGTGGTTTTCTGTCATTTGACACATACGACGCTTCTCTTAGCAGCCCTCCACCGCAGGTCAGTCCTTTGAGATCCTTTCTGTTACCATCCCCGTTCTGCAGAGAGGCGACAGGCCCTCAGAGGTCCCTGGGCTCCCGGGTGCTGAGCTCGTGCGTGCGCGGTGGCGTGGGAGCGCCCTGCCCTTTGCCGCTGCCCCCGACTGTCCCTCGGCCTTGATTAGTTCCCCCGGTTCCTCCCTCACTCCTTTACCCACAGCAATTTTTTTGTTTTTCTTTTGTCCATTCCAATAGCACGGATTTACAAGCCCTGGCCATGGGCCAGCCCAGAGGACAGGGAGGGACAGGAGAGAGAAGCCTTTTGCTGCCATGGAGCTTGCAGACGGAGGCGTTGGTGTGTTTTGAAAGCTACCTCGAACCTTCCACGGAGCGACGTGGAGAATTAGTAAAGAGGCCCGGAACCTCGTTCTTACTAATGAGTAAACCATGGTGCCAACAAATCATTGTGGCGATCCTGTGAGCTGAATGCCACAAAAGACGACAGGAATCCCAAGCTCTGCAGTGTGGCCTCCACCCGGGCTGGCCCTCCTCCAGTTTCCCATCCAGCCGCTGGCTACAGTCCTCAGGCCTTGTTTCCTCCCCTCTGTCTCCCAAGTCCTCCATCCATCCCACCGCTGAAGATGGACTCTGCCCAACCAAGCTCTCCCTGGCTACCAGCCTTGCTCCGTCTTCTCTTGCTGGGGCCACATTCTCTCTTCTCCCTGCTCTTCCCGCCTCCAGCCCTTTCCCATCCACTGTCCACCCAGCTGAAGTGTCACTGTTTGAACCTGCTAAGGCTTCTCTGCCTCCCTCAGGCAATGTCTTGGCAGCACAGCTGCAAGTTAGGATCCTTCCGTGGGCTCTGGAGTCCCAGCTCTGCCTCTCATTAGCTGTGCTACCTTGAATGACCTACTGAACCTCTCTTTGCCTTAGATAAGCAAAAGGAAATCATAAGTGAGAATGGTATAAATGAGATGATGATGATGATAGCTCCTGCCTTAAAACAAAACAAAACAAAACTTTTTAATCAGACAAATTAAGAGTGAAGGAGTTGTAGTCATGAAACAAACACTGACAGCTGCTTTTATCCTTAGAACCTTGATCTTAAGCTTTCAAAATGAACTTAAATAGGCATTTTAAATTTATTTTCTTTAAAACTTGGTCTTCTCTTTTAATTATTATTTTCTTTATTAAATAAGGTGAAACAGATTTGAATTTTCTACACAGTCCTTAGAAAGACACTTTGATGCTAATTAAAAGCTATCCATCATAACGAATACATAAAAGCTACAAAAATATTTGTTGGGAATTAAACACATATACCTGCTGGACAGTGCTAAATGTTAAGATGAAGCATAAAAGGTGATGGTTGCAACACTTACATGGTTGGGAGACGGATGACATTTCCTGAGTTATATATTTTGGGGTGTAGAATTATAATCAGATTGTTCTTTGTTCATGGAGCTGCAGTTACTGGACTTCTGTTGCTCAGGATTGGCTTGTTGGTCAGGAGTCCATGCTTCATTGTGCATTCCTGGCTCCAGCACCTCAGGTGCTTCTGCTTCCTCTTCTCCACCTAGTTCTACATTGTCTTCCTCAGAACCATTAAGGGTTTTTCCAAGCTGAAGGGTTTCCATAGTTCTCTGGGTCTCTGAGACCCCTGATTCAATTCTACTATTAAGCTGCACTTCTACTGATATAGTAGCTCCTACCTTATTCAGCTGCTAGGAAAATAACAGTATAGACAGTCCCTGACTTACGATGGTTTGATTTATGATTTTCCAATTTAAGATGATGCAAAAGTGTACTGATGCAACATTCTGTTTTTCACTTCCAGTACAGTATTCAATAAACCGCCTGAGAGCTGGGCATGGTGACGCTTGCCTGTAATCCCAGCTACTCGAGAGGCTGAAGCAGGAGGATCACTTTGAGCCTAGGAATTGGAGATCAGCTTAGGTAACATAGTGAGACTCTGTCTCAAAAATAGCCAGGTGTGGTGGCGCAAGCCTGTAATCCCAGCAGCTCCAGAGGCTGAGGCAGGAGGATTGTGAGGTCAAGGCCAGCCTTAGCAACTTAGCAAGAGCCTAAGCAACTCAGTGAGACCCTGTCTCTAAATGAAATACAAAAAAAGGCTGGGGATGTGCCTGAGTGGTTGAGTGTCCCTGAGTTCAATCCTCAGTATCAATCAATCAATCAATCAATCAATCAATCAATAGGGCTGGGGATGTAACTCAGGGTTAGGGTGCTTACTTACCATACACAAGGCCCTGGGATGATTACTCATACCATAGGGCTCAGTGGTTAAGTATACTTGGATTCAAGCCCTGGTACCAAAAAAAAAAAAAAAAAAAAAATGTAGGCTAGGCTGTCTAAGCCATGATGGATGTTCAGCAGGCCAGATGTATTAAATGCATTTTTTTTTTCATTTTTTTAAGAGAGAATAAGAGGAGAGAGAGAGAGAGAGAGAGAGAGAGAGAGAGA